CCACAATGGGGAAATTCCAAATAACTTTAACAATAATATATTGCCATAACAAAACCTATTTAGATTCTTTAAATAAATGCTTTAATCTCTGCATGCAGCCCCTATAACAAACTTTAAACACACATGTGCCAGTGGCTCCAGAGAAGAGGCTACCGTTACGCAAGGTGGTCGGGCCACTTGTGTGTTTCCAAAACGGCACTAAAACCTATGATAGGGCTTAAAATTACCCATTCAGCTCTCCATTTTAATGTAATACACTGAGCGCACTCCCCGGTCACGTCCGTTTGCCCCCGTTCCTGCAAATGTACTTTATCTGATTTTGGCCCCGCTCCCTTTTCTCCTTTACATAAAGATGTCGCACAAATGGAAATTATCGAGTGGTAATTTTTTCAATTTATGCGCGCAAATCAAGGTCATATGCTGAGCCGAAGCGGCGCGTGAACGTTGCTCTTACTTGACGCAATACGATGCAGACGTTTGCAGATCGATATGTGCCAGAGGAATAATGCCACACCAATCTATTTATTTGCAGTAATGGGGACGTGTGCATAGTAGGTACGCGTCGATACTTGGGTTATCTGACGATATTTGAATGAACCCTTTGTCTCTTGATGAGGTCATCATATAGGCGTTTATTGCTGACTGATTCATTTCCAATAACTGCATTAGACCACAGATGAAAACCGAAAATGACCTTTGAGGCAAAGGCTGATGTGCCTCATTGTAGATTTTTTTCTAACTAATAATCTCATTTGTTTTTTAATTTTAAAATTCCAACAATCCTTCATGGTGATATTTCACATCTTTGGGCAATCCAACAGCAATATTATGTAGTCTGTTGTTAGATATTATGTAATATACTGCAGGCTGGCTGAATCTTCACATACTCCAAAAACTGTCCTCAAACTATGAAGCTATTAATAGTTTATCTGGCTGCATGTCAAACAAACAACGAGGGGATTAAGCATCGTGAAATGTTTTTAATTAAACGGACTTTTCACTGTAAATGAACATCAAAGATTTACAGTGTAGTTCCTCTGCAGTTGTGTCCACCTGGACTATGTCACCTGGTTACAGTCTGCAGGTGGTGTTTACTCCAAAGCCTAAAGAAATGTTAAAACCTTTGTTAAAGGCATAAATAAAGAATTGCATTCTAGTGATTATTTATTACCGATCACTGATTATTGCTATTTATTGGGACTGAGCTCAACTCAACAGAGGCTGCAGGAGTATTCACTCCCTCCCCTCTTAGCCTCCTCCCCTTGGATCTGTATTGCTCTCTTGTAACTTTATACATGCAGCTTTGTTTGAAAAAAAAAAAAAAGCAAAATAAGATTTTAAAAAATATATAGGCTACCTATATGTAATAAAATGTCAGTCTCGGCATGATGTCTAATCTGGATGCTGTTCAAAAATACATCGAAATGTGATTCTCAAAAAAAAAAAAAATTAAGATTTAAAAGCAATACCATCACCACGAGGAAGGCAGCATGTATAATTTTTTAGCGTACGTTTAGAAATGTCCTTTAATTTTCTTAAATCACGCAATATCTTTATCATCATCAAGTGAAATTCAAATCTATCCGCATTCGCTCAGAAGTTGAAGAAGAAAATTAAAGCTGGTTAATTTGCGTGAAAACAATAGAGTAGATATTATATAGTAGTAGTAGTATAATATCTGATATCCGTTTTATGAACTTTTTACACCTCTAACTGTGTTATTTAATGAACTTAGCCAATATGCAAACTTGCGCATGTCCTCTTGAGATTGCCAAGTGTCCAGTGACACCTGTAGCGTGGGCCTGTGTGTTACTAAGTACTACTTTAATTATTTATCTCTAATTTGAAATTTTACACCTTTTTAAAACTTTTCTTTCTTTTCTTTCTTGATGAGCCAATAATTTATGAGACTGCGGCGCAATATAGGCTTTACCTTTGGCGACAACCTTTGTCAGATGTTATTGTAGCCTACAGATTAAAAAACATGGATATGATTTTTTATATCTTTTATATCTCACCACTTAAATACAAGTGGCATCACAAGTGATGCTTAAAAAGAGAGGTTTACTCATAAAGTCAATTAAGTCAAAAAATAAAATAACGTTCAGAAATAATAAAAAAGGAAATGTGCGTAAAATACAAAAATAACAACAAAAAAAAAATTAAAAAAAATAAGAATGACTTGGAAATAAAATTGACCGTTTGCTGTAAAACCAAAATAATAGTTTGGTGGAGATACTTGCTGGATCCATCCTTTCACCTCACCACCTCACACTGAACAACACACACAGACACACACAAGGCAATGAGAGAGAGAGAGAGAGAATGTTAAAAGACAGCAGCTCATACTCAGGGAGTAATGTCCTCTTCTGAATAAATTACCCATAATTTTGGCAAGATGGTGGCAATTACGCATCTAATTGACCGAACCACTTTTTATGTAAAATAACGTTTTTAAAGTGCATAACACTAAGATGATTACAGAAACCCACCTGCCCAAGCTACAAGTGTGTGTGTGTGTGTGTGTTGTGTGTGTGTGTTGTGTGTGTGAGAAGAGAGAGAGAGAGAGAGGCTCGATGTGTTGGCTATTATCAGAACAGAGATTAATTTGGATTATCATTTTTTTTGTCTCTTGGTGCATAACATATTTGTGAACAAGTTTTAATGTTGTAGTGATATATATATATATATAAGTGATATATATATATATTTAATATATGTTAATTATAAAATTGAAGCTCCTCTGAGATTTTCCAACCCATCACTGGATACAGAAGTCATATAAAAAATATCCTAAAATGTAAGGAATATTCTCCATTTATTTCACAACATGGTTCAGCAGTACAATATCAAAACGATGTCTTTACTGTACAAAGGAGACGCCGCCTCATTAAATATATACATTTACATATTTTTTACACCAGTGTAGTCGATATTTTTGCCGCTCCTGTTTAAAAACACAAAGTAGATTAAGAGACATTGGAGCTCACACTTGTGCTTGAA